CGGTTCTGTTTCCAGCCCTGTCTTCCACTTGAACCAATGGGTGTTGCAGTCAAACCTGATTCTGCCCAGCACACACTCGGCCCTCATACAAACCAGTGGGATCTGCGGCCTATTCGGAGCAACTTGCAATAAACCCTACCAGGCCCACACCCTGCCATGGTTCCCGTGCTTGCCAGTATGTATAGCAGACTGGTCCAGTCTGCCCACACAACCCATTCAGCTCTCATACACATCAATGGGCACTGAAGCCTAGTTCAACCCAGCCAGCCCCACTATCCAGTCCATGCACATGCTGTTGGTTGCCTCTCTGTCTAGCCATCACTGCCCCTGTCCTGGGTTTTGTGCTCTCCAGTGGGAGTGGTAACCCAAGAGGGACGTGCCCACTATTTCCCTCCTGGGCCCACTCCACATCACACACTCTACAGATGGTTCTGCAGTTTACTTGACAGCATTAGCTCCCTGTGCCAGCATCTGCCAGCTAATGCTATGGCAAAGCCTAACCAACCCTCACCCACTCTAATTTTTACTTGCACTGGTAGGAACAGTCAGCTCTGCCTGACTTTTCCTTGATCTGGTTTACATGAGGCCCACAGGTGTTGTAGCCTTGCCTGGTCTGGTCTGCCCACATCCCATCTCAATGCACGCTCTCCAGTGGGAATGGGTGTCCAGCAGGGGAGCCCTCCACATCCCCCATACCCACTTTGCCCCCTCCCTCCCACATTCTCATGTGTGCTGGTTGGGCACTGTGGCCTAGTCTGGCATGGCCCCCTCGCCTCGGCATTTGCCAGTGGGTGCTGTAGCCTAGCCTGACTTGGCCCACCCCCAGTTCCAGCTGATGCTGGTGGAGGTTACAGCCTAGCCCAGCAGGCACCAATCCCAGCCGTAATGTGTACTGGTATGTGTTGCGATCGAACCAGGCCTGACCCGTACTCTGTTCTGGTGCTCGGATTTTCCAGCAGGTGATGTGAACTGATTCACCCTGGTCGGCCCCTGACCTACATCAAGGGTATGTCAGCGGTACCTTTCCCTATCCTGGTCTGGGCTCCTCCCTCTCATGGTGCTTCTTGTGCTCACCTGCAGGGACTGTGTCCTGCCAGAGGAGTTTCCCAAGCTCCTCCATCACAGCCTCTCCGAATGTCAGATCTCGCACATACCGGTGGGTCCATGGGCCAGCCCTACTCAGTTCACCTCCTGTCCTGGCAGGAACAGTGACCTTTCCTGGCCTTCAACCCATTCTGGCTCTTATTGTTGGATGTTTCAGACCAGCTAAGACTTGTTCATACCCAGGCACAGCTCACACATGGCTCAGTAGGGGCAGAGACCTGGTCTAGCATGTCCTACATGTCCCCGGTCCTCCAGAGCACCAGATGGTGCTGGAGTCTAGCCCGGCTTGGTGTGCCCAGCCCCAGTCCACACTTGTGCCAAAGGACACTGCAGCCATATCCAGAGCAGAATGCAGCCCCCTCTTCGGCCTTCGCACTCACCAGTGGGAACCCCAACCCAGTTAGGGTGTCCTTAGCTCCCTAACCAGACCTGTTCTCAGCCATAGCTTGCGCACGTGCCAGTGGTTTCTCTGACCCAGCTTATCATAGCCCCTCACCTGTCTTGGCCTTTGCCTTCGATGCTGTGGCCTGGCATCCCTGGCTCATGAAAACCAGTCAGTGTAAGATCCTAGCTTGTCATGACCTGTGTTCCAGCCTGATTTCTGTTCTTGTTTGTGAGCTAAGGTTTGTTCTACCAAGCCCAGTCTGTGTCCTTCCATAACCAATCCACACATTAGCCAGCCATTGGAGCTACTTTATCCAGCTTGCCCAACCCCCAGGCCTGGACCATGTGATCGTCAGTGAGAGCAGGGGAGTTTCCCAGGTTCTCCACTTGACCCACTCCCAGACCCAGATCTCATACATGCCAGTGGGTGTTAGGCCAGTGCCCTGCATAGCTTTGCCTTCCATATTGGCCTAGTATGAGCTGGTGAATGTTGTAGCCCAGCCCACACCACATCCTGTTTAGGATGTACATTCGGTTGTTGCTGCCTTGACCTGCCCAGACTGTTGTCAGCTCCTTTACCTGGAACCTGATGGCAGGTTCCAGGTCACATCTAGCTCGGCCCATCACCACTCCAACTCTTGAGCTAACCAGCAGGACTAGTATTTCCACAGGGTTTGGCACACACATCCCCAACAGTATCTACTCCCAGACGTGGTTCTCTCATGTGCTGGTTAGTGTCATGGCCTTGCCTAATGTGACCTGTTCTCTGGTCCTACATTCTGTCAGATTCTAGGATCTAGCCCTACTAGACAATCCCCCGGCCTTAGCTTTCATATGGACTGCTGTGTGGTTGTCAGCATTGTTTATTGATAACAAGTTCTACACAAGACTCACAAGTAGGCTGGTGTATCAATCTGACCCATGCAGATCGTCCAGTCTCTCTCCTCCAAACCACCAAGTCTCAGTACCCTCGCTTATTTTCAAGGAAAAGTTACCGTGTTGTTGGGAGTCCCTCAAGATTGATTCCTCACTCACATGCACAGTAACCTCAACCTAGGCAGCAATTCTACACCTCTAAGACCCCAGAGTTCACTGTTGAGCAGCCAGCAGGCAGAGCCTGCCACCAAATGACGCACTGGCTGCAAGGTTGTGGTGGCTGTAGCAATGGCTCCAAGCATGGAGTCCGACTGGGCCTGGGTACTCCCAGCTGTTGGCTGATGGAAGTTCTGTGTACCCAATCCCAAGGTCGCACTCCGGCTTTCTTTTTGCAGCAGTGTAACTCGGTCGTGGGGCAGAATGTGCAGAAAAAGGGTGCGTTTTCTCAGCTGTAATTGGGCAGAAGCCTTGTGGGAAAATAATGTTGGGACAGCGGTCTGAGGGGTGAGGGGGCAAGGAGAGTGAAGCTTTGATGGAGTAGCAATTTTTCCCATATTGCCCCTTGGATGCTGGCTCAGCAATCATCTCATTCCCTCCAAATACGTGTTGTTTTTTGTAATTAGCCTTGTCCCCAGTCTTAAACAGCTTTTGGGAGGCCGCAGCTTAGGAGTCCAATGCTCGTCTTCTCCCTGCTGCTTTTCAGAGTCCATGGCTACAGAACATCTGTCTGAATACTGCTGGTGTGGCTTTGCTCATTTCATTCCTCCTCTCTCATTTTCCATTCCTTCTTTTAGCCTCTGGGATAGGAATTTTTATGACCCGGTTGTTAACTTTTGATCCTTTCAAGTTGTCCTTAATCAGTCTGTGGTCTCCATGCTGCTGTGACTGTTTTCACATAGTGTTGACTCCTGGATTTGTAGACGCTCTGGACTTAACACACACCCTCACAAAGCGCTAACAGCACATTTGAATCAAATGTATCCACCAAGACCCTTCAAAAAACTAAGTAAGTGTGGGTGAAAAGGTAAATGTATTCACAGGCTCAGTAAATATTACTGTGTGTCCCTAAGGCACCGTGACACTCTCATAAATGGAAGATGACTTAAAGATGATCCCACGTCCTGATCTTTAAAGAAAGACTTTTGCAGGCTTCAATGAAATGGCAAGAAATCTGGAAAACATTGTAGTTTTTAAAACGATACTTCGAAAAACGTAGTTGAATTTGATATTCAGTCAGGAGCTTCCAACAGCCGCTGCTTGTACAATAAACATCCGCAATGAATCTGCCATTGCAATAGAGGAAGCTTTAAATCAGATTTAAACCTTGTCATCCCTGGATGAATGGGCTAATATTTTCAAACAGCCTCTAGTGCAGCTGTTAAAACATTTGGGCTCTCTCGATCAAATGGGTTTGCTAAATTTCATGTAAGTTTTGTTCTAATTCTTTCCTTTTTTTTGGGGGGGGGGGCGGCTTTTCTAGTTAGGAAACAGACAGTGGCTTCTGCAAAGGTGAACATCAAGATTTATTGATGACACATATGTCTCAGGTTTTTGCATACTTTCAGCAGCACGGGAAAACTTCATGATTTTGCAAATATAATACTTAAGCAGGAAGCTTATACTCGGGAAACATGCATTTGTGATTGATGTCTCATTTCAACTAAGCAACTTGCTGGCCACTGCGTAGCTGATCAGATTTTTCAAAAAATTTAAAATTAACATCACAATTTATTTTCAAATGTCAGCAGATTAGAATTTCAAGTGTCTTTCTTCCTGCCCTCCATTCTCTGTCCTGTCCTTCCCTATTCCATCCCTCTTTCTTTTCTCTCCCTCTCTTCCTCCTTTCCTTCCATTTTTTCTTCTTTCCTTCCCTTCCCAGTCTTCCATCTGCAAAGTACCAATCCTCAAGTCTCTCTCCATAGGAGAGAACTGTTGTACACAGGAGAGAACAGGTATTTTCATGCTTATGTTTTATAAGCTGGCTTCATCATTCAGTATCAATCTTATTCATATTCTTCTCTCCTGTGACATTCTTCGGTATCATAAAATAAGTCCATAAACAAAAATTTTCACAAAGAAATATTGCTTGGCGTTTCAACAGCCAAATAAGTAGACTCATCTGAAAGTAAAATAGTTCAACTAATAATAATAAATCTTGTACTTCAAAAAGATGTTCTATGAAGTAAACCTGATTTCATTCTTCTCCAAGTACAATTTCCCATTCAAGATCCCATGCGCTTACTCTTCCATTTAGTCACCAATAGACATGTTACTGAAATATTAGTTGTTTCTCAGATCCTTCAAGACTTCAGGATAGGCTGCACTTTCTTTTTTTTACATGACAAATTTGATTTCTCATGTGAAACTTATTACTGGTCAGAAAAATGACTCTCTTTGGGGTCAGGGCTCAGATTAATAGGCTGCAGGGTAATTTAGGAAGGCAATACAACTCATAACATTCAAGAGATTAATCTACTTATTTTTGTTAAAGTTTGCTGAAGTACATTTAATAGCAAAATATAGTAACAGATTTCACAATTTCTCTTCCATTCCATCTCCCAATCAATAAAATGGAAATATTGAAAATAACTGAATAACGTAAGCATTGGAACAAAGAATACACCCAGACACATTCATCAATTTAGAAATAAAATTTAATGATTTAAAAGGTTTTAACTCACACCAATAAGTGTAACAGTCCTGAAGTTAACATACTTCTGAACAGTCCTATTCATCTTATTCTTTTCTAAATCTCAAAGAAAGTATTTGATAAAGCATAATTTATTAATTATATTTTAGTCTAGGCCCTATACTTATCACAAATACAAAACCATTGTCATGTTATAAGGTAAAAATTATATAACAGCTCTTGATATGAAAATATCAATAATGTAGCTGTTGAGAGACAAATATCAGTTGGCTGATTCTGCTTTTGTGACATATATCAATATCTTTTTTTTTCCTTCTGGCATGACAATGCCACTAAGAAAAGTTCACCATTCTTTCAATGTTTTGGCTTCCACTATGCATTATTAGTTGGCAGATCCATTTTAATGGCAGGAAGGTGAGAATTGAACCTTAAGCACACTCATTTGATGAGCTCTTTTATCAGAAAGCATGCAGCAGTGAATTTTCAACTCAGAAACTATCTCCATTGTTCAATGAAGATTTCTTTTGCAAAGGCATAATCACGAGAATTCATTTTCACTTGATTGAAAGTATTTCTTATCATTATTACACTGGCCATGGCAAGGGTATGGCAATGGCCGGACCACATGTTATTGGCCGCACAGATTAAGCTTCCACACAAAACTTGACTAACTTGTAAGCAATGCGCCTCGGGTGGGCCTCCCGCATCTCCCTTACTAGCTGACCAGACAGGAGTCCTCGTTGCTTGGCTTGACTTCTCCTTCCAGCAGCAAATTCATCACCACCTTGGTCAAGTAGCTGCAAGTCCCTCTCTTCCCCAGAGGGGGAGTGTTGTAGAAGGAAGTCATGTCATCCTACAGAGAAAGACAGTAAGCAAGCTGTGTGTTCGTAAAGAGCTTGCAGGTAAAAAGGTAAAATCGGTGTCAGCCTAAGGGGAAACACCAATTCCCAGGCAGGTTTCTTCATGGCAGACATGAGCTTCCCAAGGTTTTCTTTCATTTTCCTGGGGCGTCTTCTCAGCATATAAAACACAGACAGAAAATTTTGGAATTCTCCTCTTCGCTCAACATTTTTATTGGTTTAGGGAGCCTTTTCTCAAATGAACATAAAAGATTAAACAGCAAACCTAGAAGCGACTGCATTAGTTAGTCCACGGCTCCAATGCAGCCTGCTGCTGCGTCCCCATCTTCCTCAAAATTTAATTTTATAGCCTTCTGGACTCTACAGTTACTCTGTGCAAACACATTTTAACTGCTAACTACAGAAAGGAAATTTATTCCTTCCTACATTTCTTTTCTGTCAGAACTCCATAGCTGAATTAATAATTAACTCCAAAGTAACTTTAATTCCTCAAATAAATCAGACTTCCTTTCAAGTATTCTACATTGCACTCCGTTCACCTGCTTTGTAAGTAAAATGAGCAGATTAGGGTTATTTTTGAAGAACTGGGACAATGAAGAAATTCTACCAAAAGCTGTGTTCTCTACTTACTTGTTTTTCAATTTCCTTTAGCCGACTCTCATCCTTTTGAAATTCATGAAATGCTTCTTTCACGAGTTTGTCTAGGTCCACTTTGTCTTGAAATTCTAGCTCAGGGTTTCTTTCCAGCACAATGGATACAACCATTAGCAGCTAGAAGAGACACATGTTGAAAGCCAGTTACGTGAACCATAATAGTGACATAGATTGGACATGGTTTCCTTTTTTAATCAGCCTGATGCCTTATTCTAATGTTCCACAGTGTGTCCCGTAACAGGCTGAAGGATTACCTGATTTTCAAGCTAGAAGCCTAAGTTTTGTTTGTAAACTACACATTTCTGTTTCTTTGTGTATATCACTACAGACATATGAAAGTGTTTTAGTAAACTAAAATAAAATTAGTAACTTATATAAATGACTTTCTTGACCCTGACTTGCTATCTTATTTATCAAAAGATTTAAACTCCTGTTTGGGCTTTTGAGTACCAGCCTTGGTTGGCAAGACACTTGGACAGTGTCCACTGGAGCATGACTGCCAAAAGCAGGTGCCTTCAGTGGAGACCCTGGAACTAGTCAGTTCATGACCAAACAACACGGGTTCTGTGCACCTCATGTTGAGAAAAAGACTGATGCTGTAACAATTGATCAGGGATGGCTATATTTCACATAAATATACTCTTTTTGATGTGAGTACTAGTTCATTTGTGCAAACTATCTTAGCTTAACGTATCATCCCACTGTTTGGCCATTCCAAACACTTAACCTAGGTTATGCTCATTTTAAATAACAGATTCTAATGCACAGGCCATGTCTGGGTGTGCAATAATTGGGAAAGTTTTTCTGATACTGTTTATGGTTCTTACTGGATACTTGAACAGGAAACATATCTTGTGACTGTCAATTTGGGAATCTTACTCTCTGTTATATAAATACTTCCAAAAGAGAAGCAAGCTAAAAGAACCCCCCCCCAAAAAAAACCCTAAAAACAAAAACAAACTCACAACCCCAAAACGAAAACCGACAACCAAAAGCAAAACTCAAAGCACTTGCAGTAGAATTCACAGGTCACAGTGTGGGAAGACAGTGGGGCACGGCTTTAGCCAGGTGAATACACAGTGATGCTATAGCTCTAGAGAAAACTTCTTCTGGAAAAAGAAAATGACTTTGGTCAACAGGAAGGACTTCTATGTGCACGAAATGCTTTAAATGCTGCACAGCAGACCCGGCGGGCTCAGGAAAGTTTCACCTTCTAATAATCTCGTCTTTTCCTGACTCTTGACATTGTCTCATCCCAAGTGCTATGAAACTGACTGGCTAACCCCATTCTCATGCTGCAAGGTCGGAGTTGGGGCTGAAGTTCACTCAGCAATGATGGACTGCGGAGGGGCTCCCACCAGTTAAGTGCTCACCAGCCACCTCTGTCAATAAGACTTGTTATCTCCTCTCAGGAAACACAAAGGCTCTTGCTAGTAGAAGGGGGGAAGGATGGAATTCTGTTCTTAATAATTTTCTGAACTGTCAACACTTTCTGTAACAGAAACTTGTATTACTTTCATGAATAGAAAAGGATGTGTTTTTTTTTTGTGGTTGTTGTCTTGATGTTGTTGATGTGCTTTCTACTGATGGGTGAGGGGTACCCGGAAGGCTGGACTGTCAGTTGTTTGACCCTGCTGAAGTTTAAGGTCTTTGAGGTTCTCATGTGCTTTGGCTTGGGTTAAGTATGGTCACCCCCTTTAGGTCTCAATTAGAGGATATCAGGATTAGGTAAGAGAGAGAATTCGTAGGCAATTTCCCTTACGCCAGTTTTCAGGGAAATGAAAGCAAGTACTTCTTCAGCAACATATGCTTTTATATACAAACCTCCACAATGATTTGTCTGTACTTTGGCTGGTCAATATTCCCCAACATGTCTTCAACAAGGAGAGAGAAATTCATCTCATACATGGTCATATCTGACAGGGTTGGTTGCTGAAAAATAAACCTCATATTAACATGCAGTTATGGCCTTTCTCTCTTTTGAAGGAGGAATTGCATTTTCTAATCAATAACCTTTTTCTAGTCTTTACAAAACCTTAGCGAGCATTCTCAGCTCTTCCGCTAGATTGACTGGGTTGAAATATGTCACACTACTGAAGCCAACCAGCTGACTGCCATGATAAATGAAACCTTTTATTTACTAGCCATCTTCATCATATTAATGTTTTAAGGGAACAGGACCGAATCAGAAATCCACTTCAAAATACAAACAGTCCAAGACTGAGACAACAAATACGATACATACTGCTTTCAGTATTAATACAAGAAGTTATGCTTGCTGTCTGACTTCAGTATGTAAGTCACTTGTTATTGAATTTACATCATTTCTGTGGCAGATTCCCTCTGAGACAGCAGCATAAAAACACACATGGACAAGTAAAAACAATATTACCATGCAGAAATGGCAAGGAAACAGAAAAACAGCAAAATTAAAATAATATTTTCGATTCTGCTCTTTATTTTTCATTTAAACGAGAGTTCTGCATACTCTTCCATATAACTTTTCAGAAGCAAAATGAAGGCCAAAAATAAGCTTGAATCTAGATCTAAATTTGGGTATGGTAGATAAGTCTCAAAAGATGGAGGGGAGGCACCAAGTGTTAGGCTTGCATAGTGAAAAGCAGATGGAGTCACTAGTTATTACCAGAGGCAGACAGAAGATGAGACCTACTTACACACTCCACGGTCAATCATGACGGATAGTTAATTTCTCCATAGTTTCATAAAAACCTGTTGTTATTTAGTACTCAAACTGGGATCCAAAGATCCTCTGATTTTCCTCTTCTAATTAAGTACCAGCAAAGTTGTTCAGCCTGGTGCAACAATGCCTTAGTCTTACATTCAGTAAATCTACTTAGTGTATTCCATAGTCAGTGCAATCTAAAACATAATTAATCTAACATACATGTTAATGCTGAAAGGTTGTGCCCACGTGGGGGAAAATGAAATGCAGTAGCCAGACACAGTTATCATAATTGTTCAGTTATTGAGTAGTATTACGGAAGGGAAGGAAGATCTTTCAATGATTTCATATTAATATCCTCTTTTTTATTTTGAAAGATTTATTTATTTTTATTGGAAAGGCAAATTTACAGAGAGAAGCAGATACAAAGAGAAAGATCCTCCGTACTCACTCTCTAAGTGCCCACAATGGCTGGAGTTGAGCTGATCCCAAGCCAGGAGTCAGGAGTTTCTTCTGGGTCTCCCACATGGGTGCAGGATCCCAAGGTCTTGGGCTGTCCTCCACTGCTCTCACAAGCCACAGGCAGGGATGGACAGTGGAACAGCTGGGACACGAACCTGCACCCATATGGAGATCCTGGCGGTTTGCCAAGTGAGGATTTAACCACTAGGACGTCATGCCAGGCTCAATATTAGTTTCCTCTTAAAACATCTCCTTTAAAAGGCCAATTTAGCTAGAATGTAATTGTGGTAATTAAGCTGAACAAAGATAAAGGCAGCTTGACTTTCCAACTTTTCTGAAAGGACTTGGGAATAAGTAGTGTCACAAGGCTTTAGGAAAGCTTCAGGAGCCCAACTGCTGCCAGGTGCAATGCTGCTGCCAAGAGCGGTCACACAACATCTGAGGAAAAGCTGGGCAACGGTGCTGGCCACCAAATACAACCGCACAGTCCAGAACAGCATAAGGAACACTTTTAACATGTTTTCATTCCCTTTCTGAAATGACACATTCACAAAGCTCAAATTTTGAGAGGTTATAAATGACTTCAGTGCAAAGTCCACACTATCTCCCTAAACACACAGCTACTTTGGCCCAAAGGAAAGAAAAGAACGTTATTAATTCCTTCTGAGTTCTTTCAGAGTATATATACTGTAGCATGTATTTGAAAACACACATACAATTAACTTGAATGAAAGTGCTTGAGTCGCTGTCACCAATGTGGGAAACCCAGAGGAAGTTTCCAGGCTCCTATCTTTGGCCTGGCTCGGCCCTGGCAGAAGGAATGAAGATTCTCTCTCCCTCTTTCTCTCTGTTTCTCTGGCTCTCTTTGTTACTCTGACTTTCGAGTAAATAAAATGATATTTAAAAAAAGAATAACTTGGTTGAAGTTTCAACACTAGAGGAAAGTAGAGAACACCATTTCCAAAAGGTTAATTGTTCTCACTTGCGTGTAAGCAGAAGGATCTAGACGCCATAATCAAGTACATAAAATAATTGCATCAAACAAGCAGGTCAGTTTAGGCACCTTAGGAAATCATATGCAGGAGACAGTGTTAATTCATCACAGGTAAGTTACGCTATGGGTAAAAGAAGTGGTTTTCAGTGCAAAGACCTACAAAGTTCCAATATTGCCACTGTCAGCCCAGTTCCTAAATGCCGATTTCCTTGTGCCCGGTGTTACTATTCCACTTTGCGTCTGAGGCCTGAAACAGTTCTGTCTTTTCAATATCCTGTTCACTTTACTGCTTATGAGGCCCCAGCATTGACCCAGCACCATCTGATGGTCAAGGGATAAGAGGAGCCTCAAACTCGCTAAGAAGCAAAGGAAGTCTAGTTTGTTCAGCAAGAAGTTTGGCCGTGTGGCACCTTTCATGAGGACTTCCTTGTAACAGCTTAAGATTGATAATGCAATTTGTTAAGTACAACTTCACAGCAACATATCATTTTAGTCAAACAAGCTTCTTAAAACACACACACACACACAGACACGGAAACAAAAAGCATGAGGCATCTCAAACTGGGGAACATATTTCCAATCCAAAAGGGTAGAATCCTTATTTGCTGATATTTCATCTCTGCATCCCTCGTTGAAACACTCCTGGAAAGCCGAAATGCAGAGCTGTGATTTGCAGTGCAGACAAGCAACACAGTGGTCTTACCTGTGGCAAGTGTTTCCCCGCTACAATGAGACCATTGGGCGTGCGCTCCAGGATCTGCCACACTCGGTCGTAGAACCCAGTGGGAGTTCGATTCAAAGACCCATCGATCTGTCGCTTGTTCAGCCAACATCTACAGACCAGAGGAAAACGCTTCAGTTTGAAAATTAGGCTTGTTCTAGTAGAAAGCTGGGCTTGCAACATGGGTTACATTTTCCAATAGGGTAAGCAATAAAAGCCAAATCCCATCAATGATGCATATTTGCCATATGTGATAGAATTTAGGAAATATTTCATAGTGAAAACAGAGCTTGCAGGGAGTGAAAAAAATCTCCAATTTTAAAAATATTTAAATAGCAACATGATCAAATGATTTTCCTCTACTAAGTGGAACAGAGTTTCATGTAAAATACAGAATTGGCCAGTTTCATAACAACTTTTACAGATTTCATGCCCACGTACCTCTCCGAGAAGGTTACTTAACAAAAACAGTCCAATAAATTAATGAATAAACAAATGCTCAGAAAAGCCATGCATACAATGAAATTACTTTGTTTTAAATTTCATAAGTGTTTACATTGACACATGCTGCTACTGCTGAAAAGTCAAACAAAAAATCTTTCATATCATTATAATCACAATTTTACTCTACATTTTATTTTTATGGATTGAATATTAAATCTTAAGTATATACACATCATTCACAAAAGGCTAAAGATGTAGAATGTGCATAATTTGAAAAGAACAGAGTAACACAGCAGTATATTTTTGCAAAAACTGAAGATAGGAACAGATAATCAATTTTACATTTAGGACTTAGAAAGATAGCAGAGTGACATGAACCCCAAGAGAGGGGTGTCGTCACCAGTATTTTCAGGCATGAAAATAGCTAGTCAGTAGGCGGTAAATACAAAAGACACTTCTGCTCTGGTGAATAAAAGATCAATGAAGTTTTAGGATGATGTAAATAAGACAGGCATCTTTTATGGGTATGTGAATTTTCTTTAGCAGACTCAGACTTGCCCCGCTGGGTTCAGGATTTTACTCGAGTTAAAGGAACTTGAGCTTTAGGGACTCACCCCAGGTTGGCGAGGTTCTACTCTGAATAACTGAGCACTCCACACTGTGCCATTGATTTTGTCCTACTTCGTTTGTGTGGCTACAGTAACAGGAATGCTTTCATACTTCTAGGACACGCAGTTAATAGATTTAAAAGCACAAGTGGAAATGTGCACATACTCACAAGGGAGGCAGAGACTGATTTTAGAAGGCTTCTTTTTTTTTTTAACTTTTTAGAAGATTTTTTTTAATGTTAAGAATTTATAGAAGAGTCACAAAAATAAGTCTTCTACTTAGTCTTTCTGAATCTTGTTGTCATATATAACTGTACTATGATTACTGCAATTAGAAATTGAGTAGTGACAAAAAGTAACTAATGAGCCTCTGAAACTTCAAATTTTAGCAACCTTCCCATTAATGCTGTTGGTTTTGTCCAGGGTCCAACCCAGAACTCCACACAGCAGTTAGTCACTTCGCTAAGTGATACCTCTTTGCACAAATTTGAAATTCTGGTAATGTCACTTACTTGGTAAGACCTACAAAGTATTGGTATTCTGATGAAAAGACCAAGGTTGTGCACTTTTAATTTACAATAATATATTTTGTGAGTATACAAATTACTACCATAGTTTAAGAGTCAGAACAATAAAAACATTATAGACTTTGGGAAACACAGTGTTCCCTTCAATCTTATCATACTGGATTGTTTTCTCAATATTTTCATCCTTTCTTTCCACTATTTCCATAAGGTAGCCAATTTATTAGTTTCTAATTTATTCTTTTCCTTCTGCACAAATATGATATACAACTTTTAAAAATATCACCTTGTTTCTTATATGAAGAGCAGAAAATTATAGATGTTTTGATCCCCTATCAGCCTAGAGATCCTTGTCATTCTTTTTCACAACTATATTTTACCTACTTTATTGTGTGGATTTACTGTAGTACATGAACATATCCGGTATCTAGAGAGCCTTCCATCCTACAGACACAGAATATGATTTTTTTTCATCAGTAAATGGAACCGTTTTCAGGATTGATCACACTAGAAAAGCACCAGAAAACGAACTATCTACCTACCTGAAGGAGCAAAACAAACCCAAAATTAGCAGGCAAAAAAGAAATAATCAAAATGAAGAAATAAACCAGAAATCAAAAGAACAATCCATAAGATCAATTAATCAAAGAGTTGGTACTTTGAGACAATCAACAGAATAGATTCCCCGCTAGCCCAACTAATCAAAAAAAAAAAAAAGTTGGGAGAATATAAGAATCTACAGATGGAAAAGAAATCTAACAATGGATACCTTGGATGTACAAATTAATGGCCCCAGTATATACAAACAATTCCATGGCTGAGAAAGAACTGGCAAGCATAATCCCCTTTAAAACATCTTGGACTAAACCTAACCAAAGATGTGGATGACCTCTATGATGAAAATTACAAAACATTAACAAAAGGAATAGAAGAAGACATTAAAAGATGGAGAAATTTACCATGTTTCTGGATCTACAGAAGTAATCCCATTAAAATGTCCATATTTCCAAAAGTTATAGATAGATTCAATGTAATCACAATCAAAGTTTCAACAGCATTCCTCTTAGAAATAGAAAAGAGAACCAAAATTCATCTGAAAACACAAGAGACCATGAATGGCCTATCCCAAAGAACAAAAATACTTCTAGACCAAGACACCAGACAGAGCAGTGGTCATCAAAACAGTCTGATACTGGAACAGAAACAGCAGAAGATCAATGGAACACAATAGAAACCCCAAAAGGGAGTTCACACATTACAACCAACTAATATACAACAAGAAAACTGAAAAGAACCCAGGGAAAAAGCCTGGTTCTTCAACAAATGCTGTAGGGACAATTGGATAGCAGCCTGCAGAAGAAAGAAGCAAGACCCTCACCTTTCATTTTATACAAAAATCAGCTCTTAATGAATCAAGAATCTAAATTTTCACCCAGAAACCATCAAACTATTAGAGGAAAACAGAGGAAACACTCTACAAGATATAGGTGTTGGAAATGACTTCATAGAAAGTCACCAAAAGCTCAGGCTGTCAAAGGTAAAATAAACAAATGGGACTACATCAAACTAAGAAACTCTTGTAGCAAAGGAAACAACCAAGAAAGTGAAGAGAAAACAGACAGAACGGGAGAAAATCTTTGCATATTACACAACAAACACAGCAAAAACAAAAACACAACAACCCAGTGAAGAAATGCACAAAGGAAGTGAGCAGGCATCTATTTAATGAACAGGTTCAAATGACTAACAGGAGCAAATGCTGAGGCTCCCTAGATACCAGAGAAATATAAATAAAAACCACATTGAGGCTCCACCTAACCCAATGAGACGGCCTTACATTCAGAAATCTACTAACAACATCCACTCCACATACTCCATGGAATACTACTCAGCCATTAAGAAGAATTAAATTCTACCATTTGTAACAAAATGATTCCAACTAGAGACCATTATGACCAGTGAAATAAGCCAACCCCTAATAGGACAAATTTCATATAGATATATTTACCTGGAGGAATTGTGTAATGGGAAACTAGCACATCAATCAGTAACGATACCTATCAGAATGCATCTCTACTTCTGAATAAAAGATGGATCTTGATAACAAGATGCTAGACTTTCTACCACTGTCTCTACATACAATGTCATGATACATTTAAGTGGTAGAGAGATGGACTTGTGAGTATTGTTAAAGGACTACACTGCTGTAACAATACAAGGGAAAACAGAGGGCGAGGGGAGGCACAATGAGGAGCGTGGAAGAGGGAATCCTTTGGTCTATGGAACTACATCATGAAAAGTAATTTTTTTTTTTAAAAAAGAAAGCATTAATTTTGTTTCTTTTCCATTTTTCTCCAGGATTTTTGCAATCTCTGGAATCCTTTAAAAGATGTATTTGTTAATGTATTTGAAAGGTGACTGACAAGATGAGAGGGAGGGAGAGAAGGAAGGAAGTAGGAATAAGAAGTTGAGGAACAAACAGTGGGAATTACATTGGGGAGAAGGAGGAAGGGAGTGAAGGAAGAAGAAAGAAGGGAGAGGGAGAGAGAGAGAGAGAGAGAAAATCTGCATCATCCATGCATCTAGTCCCCAAAGGACTACAACAGCAGTCAGGTGTTCCAGCCTCATCACACAGATGTGTGGCAGAAGCCTAGCACTTAACCAATCATTTGCTGTCCCGTAGGCACATGAGCAGGAAGCTAGATGCGAAGCAGAGGTGTAACTCCATTCCAGGTATTCCAATACGGGATGCTGGTGTCCCAAGCAGTGGCTTAACCCATTGCCACAGTAAACACTGCCCTGTTCCTCAAGTTTTAAGGATTCTTAGATACTGTTTTTGTGGGGGATGCCCACTTTGTTTCATTTCTACCTGTCTTTTCACAGGGTTAATCTTTTGATCTATTTAATATAATTTTAAATAATATTTATGCTGTAATATTTTCAATATAATCCTACTTTGCTTTTGCTGTCTTTGAGTTAGAGTTAAAAAGGCACTTGTCATTATCTTTCGTCACTTGAATGATTACAGTTTTTACATTTAGACCTTTCAAATCCATTTGAGTTTATTTGGGGGTAAGGCAAAAGTATGCATTTGATTTTTACCTTTTTTTCCAATTGCCTATCCAGCTGTTCCAGTACAATTTCTTTAAAAAGCCCATACGTGGCAGGCCAGTTAGGATACTGCAAGCCTACGTCCCATATCAGTGTGCCTGGATTAGAGTCCTAGTCCCACTGCCAATTTCAGCCTCCTGCTAATGTGTACCCTGATAGAGTGCGGGTGACAGCTCAAGTCACTGGGGCTGCTACCTGTGCGGGAGAAAAAGATTGATTTTTCCAGATTCTGCCCTTTGCCTGGCCCCTAGCCAGTGACTGCAGGCGCTTGGAGAGTGAATTAGTAGACAGGGAAATCTCTCCGTGTCTGAAAGAGGGAAATACATACATTTTAAAAATGTAATAGCAATTTAAAAAATGACAAATAAAAAGTCCATCTTTGACTCATGATTTGAGATGTTACCTTCAACACATAGTAAATTTACAAAAGTTCCTGGTATTCTTTCTGGCTTTTCTATTCTCTTAAGCTGGAGTATTTGCTTATGTGGCAACATAATATTGGTATAACTTAATAGAGACTTACTAGTACAGTCTCATGTCTGTTGGGAAAGATCTCTTACATTTTTCCAGTTATGGCATGTTTGTTTTTCCATATCCAGTTCTGTAATGACTTGTGTAACTCCATGAAATAGTTTGTTGGAATGTTATTAGAATAGCACCAAATTGGGCCTGGCACAGTAGCCTAGTGGCTAAAGTCCTTGCCTAAAACACTACAAGATCCTATATGGGCACTGGTTGTAATCCTGGCAGCCTTGTTTCCCATCCAGCTCCCTGCTTGTGGCCTGGGAAAGCAGTCGAGGATGGTCCAAAGCCTTGGGTCCCTGCACCTGCATGGGAGACCTGGAGGAAGCTCCTGGCTCCTGATTTCAGATCGGCACAGCTCCAGCCATTGCTGCCCCTTGGGGAGTGAATCAACGGACAGAAGATCTTCCTCTCTGTCTCTATGTGTGAAAGTCTGTGTTTGACTTTCAAATAACAAAAAAATCTTTTTAAAAAAGCGAATAGCATCAATTTTACAATTGTTATAATAATACTGAGTGCTCCTATTTAACAGCAAGGATGACTTTCCATTTGTTCAAACCTACTTTATATAAGCCATAACTAAATATAGTAAAGTTTGTATGATAAGTTCACTGCAATTTACATGTCCTTGTTTCGCTCTTGTTCTAAGATTAGTATGTTACATCCATGAAAGAGCTTAATTCTGAAGTTTAAAGATTCGTTGGTGAGACAGAGTCCCAATTCGCGTATTTAAACAATGTTAGCAAACCTGATCTCGCTGCTGCCAAAATGTTGGCACGAGAGGCTGAGTGTGTAACCCGCTCAGGAAAGAAACTGAAAGGGTAGGAGGAGTTACATTTTACATAAAACATTGAAGATGAAGAAATGCCTATCAACTCTACCTGACAAAACCATAAAATTCTAATCAATACAAAATCACAACTGAACGGAAGACATTTTCACTACTCCCTGGTTATACGTTCTACTCCATTTTATTTCTTCTTAATATCTTCTTACTTTCCCGCACATAAACACACAGTGTAATTGACGGTGTGCCCTGCAGATAAGAAAGGGCCTTCCCTACCTTCCGTTTTGTTGAGGCTGGAGAATATCCAACAGCAGCTGTTTCACTTCGCTGGGCGACAGCTGATACAAATCTTTGGCTGGCTTGTCTCCGCTGCGGATCTGTAGCTCGTATTCCATAGCGTGGATGATCCACCTGGAACAAAACCAGGGAAGCAGAAATCCGTAATCCTTGAAATAAAACCACCTTGTGCTTTTCTCGGCAATGCCCTTAACAGCACTGACCCATGAAAGCAGAAGGAGAAAAAGGCCACTTGGAATTCCTTCAAGCACTCATAGGATTACCTCCATCGAGACTAGGTTGTGCAATCAGATTCATAAAATGATGTCCTGCTCTTACACATATGGGTGGGTTGTAAAACACGAAAGCAGATCCGTGTTCAGGTTCTTGCCAAACGAAATTTTATCCAGTTCAGTATGAGAGACAACTGCATGCAAATAGCTGTCATACTACATTTTCTTAAAGTTAGCTGATATGTCTTTATATAAATGTTTCTTTCCGAGAGGTAACAAAGTATTTTCTACAAATCAATTTCCTTTAATTTGTAGTCATTCTTCAGGGTGGAACGTAAGGAGGATATCTGCCTTTGAAATCCAAGTACACAAGGGCTGGCGTGATAGCGTAGCAGCTGAAGTCCTCACCTTGCACACACCTGATCCCATATGGGCGCCGGTTCTAATCCCGGCAGCCCTGCTTCCCATCCAGCTCCCTACTTGTGGTCTGGGAAAGCAGTCGAGGACAGCCCAAAACCTTGGGTCCCTGCACCTGTGTGTGAGAGCCGGAAGAGCTCCTGGCTCCTGGCTCCTGACTGGCTCAGCCATTGCAGCCGTTGGGGAGTGAATCATCGGACAGAAGATCTTCCTCTCTGTCTCTCCTCCTCTCTGTATATCTGCCTTTCCAATAAAAATAAATAAATCTTAAAAAAAAAAAAGAAATACAAGAACACATTAGCTATAATTAGAGAATTTACTCTAACCAACGCACTTTAGAAAGCAATATTTAAGTATTTTATGTGTAAGAAATTTATTTTTCAAACTGAGAATCTTTCAAAAAGCATTTTTACAGTTTCATGTCCTTCATTTTCTGTATCCTGGGGAAAGAATTCAAACAAGCTGTGCGAAAAGTCAAAGAAAACCCTGGAAATAATAATGTGCTTGGCAAACCAGAATTCCAGGTACCATTAGGAAAAGCCAGGGAGTCACTTTGACATCACACAATCCCATGCTTTATCCGTAAATCCCTCAGTGAGCACCATATCACAGAGGCGGGACAGCACAGCACTCAAGGCTATCCCCATGTCGTCTCATTCTCAGCTTTGTATTACGGCACCAGTCCACCTCAGAAGTGTTTGGTAACAACATTGAAGATTCAAAGTAGCTGAGTCGCAGAGCAGGCATTCACGTAGCACGTCAATTTAAGATGGCCAAGTGCCACACTGGGGTATTGGCAATTCCTAGCTCTGACTCCTGACTCCACGTCTGGCTAATGCAGTCCCTAAAAGGCAGCTGTAATAAGTCCTTTCACCTACGTGGGACCTGGACTGCATTCCTGGCTCCTGGCTTCAGCCAGTCCCAGTACTGGGTAAATGTGGACACTGGGGGAATGAATTAGATAACACTGTTGATGTGTTTGTGTGCTGTTTTTGGAAAAAACAACAAAAAAAAGTGTGGGCTGAGTCATTGCACTCAGGTGTGACATTATACTTCCCTCAGCACATGGCCTTGACAGACGACTCACATGGCTACTGCAGATACAGAGATGAAATAAGGCAACTAGACCTATTCAGAATATTAAAGTCCTTCTTCTACCAAGGATGCTTTGTAAAATAGCAGCGATGTGTCCTTAGGGTACCGTTCAAATATATCTCAGTGCAGAAAATAGTAGGAAAGAGTGTTATGTCTTCCCGGCTTGATTAGGGATGATATCAACCCGGGGTATGTCCTTGCCTACTGCGCCAGGCCATGCGGCCACAGGTAATGTCTCACTTCCAAGGCTGATTGCTTTACTGCCCGTGGTTAAGGCAACTCTGCAAATCCCTACCTTCTCCACTATTTTTTGTTGCCATTTCTGAAAGTTCAGAATGTAACAGTGTGCTAGTCAACTGCAAAGTGTTTCACCTAATAGCTGGAATTCAAATTTAGATGAAATCCATGTTTTACCAAAGACTAGGATTCTTTACAGATTCATCTTCATTATTATTGACTGTATTTAATCAAAATGACATACAAGCATGCTTATTTGGATACTTTGATGTTAAAGTTGCTTATTAAATTGGCTGGCATAATATTTCCATCACAACAAACCACTCAATGGAATCCTTCTTTAAATAAAACAATGCAATTTTTATTTTCACTTAGTTTCAATGAACTAAAAGTATTTTATTTCTTTTTTTCACATTAAAAATTATATTTGAGACAACTTAGGATGGAAGCAACATGGGAAAAATTCTGGAGACTGCCTTTTGGATTCCTCAACAGGTCACAGGTCAATCAAATGAAAGGAAAAGCAGGGTTGAACAATATTGATCTATATTAAAAGTGACAACCACCAATTCCACACGTGGATCTTGATTTAAATTCTGATTCAAGAACTTTGGGGGAAGAAAAAGAATCTTGCAAATAATCAGAAAAGTGTAAGAATTGAGCATTTGTTGATCATAAGGGATCATTGCTAACTTGAATGGTAGAAAACAATATGTAATCAACTTACTAGATCTGTTAAAAAACTAATTAAAATTAAAATGCAAAAAAGAAAGGAAGACGTTTTCTTAGATAAACTAACAAGTGATGGATATATAGGAATTTATCAAATAGCTCTGTTATACATATTTAAAACTGTTCACAATGAAAATCAAAAGCAATCAACAGCTGTGTCCCAATGGCAAGTTATTTTTCAAATGAGCACATTAGTATTAACTTTTAATTTACCTTAAAAATAATTTAGAGAAACAAGAAAGTGTATATAAAAAGGCTTTTGAAATTCTAAAGAATCATAAAAATATTAGCAAATTACTCTTTTGTGACTTCTCAGACTCAATGTAGAGGAAAGGCATTTTACATTTTAATCAAAGTTTTGGAGTTACTTAGCCAAATACCACACCTAATCAATTTGGGGAGGTAGCCTTTTAAAATATAGATAGCATTGTTATTTTTTCAAGAATTACTTTTCAAAGATTTCCAATAACTTGAGTCATTAAAACCAAACACAGTCTATTATATTTACCTTTTATATCCTCAATACCATAAAAAAAGATAGTTGGAAATAAAAAAGTTTTTCTTCAGGTATCTTTCTTCCATTTAACAAATCCAAACTCTGAGCACATTATAGACAATGGTATTCTAAAAATCACCAAAGAAAAAGGTGACGCTTTTTCACTCATTTAAGCAAACTGATCATGAATTTTTTTGTTATATTACTTAAAATATACTTATTCATTCAAAGATATTAGCCCAAATTAATCTTTTTAGATCTTGGAATTCTTGAAAATATTACAATGAGAATAGCGGAACAGCTTTGGACATAGACAAACATCTGTAAGAGGCTCTGAGTAACTAAATTACCAACTGAGTATCACAGATAAAAAAACCTAATACGGTTCACCCATTTTTAGGAGTACCAATAAAAAACAGCACAGGGAAATTTGGCTTCTCACCTTCACTTCCACCAACAAGGTCGTAAAACGTGATTTTAATTTTTTTTAGCACTAAAGCACTTAATGTGAAATGGGGAAAGCAAGCAATCAAATGTGGGAGATCAAAAAAAAAAAAAATGAACGTTATCCTTGAACCAGATCCTTATAAATTCAGCAGGTCTAACAAACCAGAGACATGCTCTACTTGCCAATAAACAAATAAGAAAGTGGCAGAAACACACGATGTATCAAGGTTTGGCTTGAGGACAACACATTCCTCAGGACTGCTGGAAAGTGTAAAGAGGTGTACAATCCTTGGAATAAGCTCATCTTTCTAAAGACTGGCTTGTTGTGAGGTTAATGAGGGTACTACGTAACACCATTTTTCTTTCCAAGGTATCCTAAAAAAAGAGTGAAATGAAAAATAGAGTACATTTAAATATGACATTATGTATAAGCCAGACAGTTGACACCTACTAGAAAGAAAAAGTCATAAAGAATTATTGATCTTTGGCAAGATACAACTTTTCTTGTTTTTTTTTTAAAGATCTATTTATTTATGGGAAAGTCAGATATACAGAGAGGAGGAGAGACAGAGAGGAAGATCTTCCGTCCGATGATTCACTCCCCAAGTGAGCGCAACAGCTGATGCTATGCCGATCCAAAGCCAGGATCCAGGAACTTCTTCCAGGTCTCCCACAGGGTGCAGGGACCCAAGGTTTTGGGCCGTCCTCGACTGCTTTCCCAGGCTACAAGCAGGGAGCTGGATGGGAAGGGGAGCTGTTGGGATAAGAACTGGTGCCCATATGGGATCCCGGGGCATTCAAGGCGAGGACTTTAGCCGCTAGGCCACCACACCGCCGGGCCCAAGATACAACTTTTGAACAAGCACTGTGAGATTATTTCAAGGTAATAACAAGGATTTGCTAAGTTGATAAGTTGACTGTTAAACAAGTGAAGAATGATTCTCCATGAAACATGCCAGTAACCAGGTATTGTATCACTTCTCTCCTTACACACACACACACACACACACACACACACACACACACACACACACACACACACAGAGTAAGCTGGTATTTAGAGATGGAGCCTTTGAGAAGCAATCAGGGTCATGACCATAATGTCACAAGGATGGGGTCCTTATGTTGGGATTAGTATCCTAATAAGATATATTAAAGAGCCTTCTCTATCACAATGAGGATACAGTGAGAAAGCGATTGTTTTCAAGACAAAGTCTCACCAGAAAAATAATGAAACAGTTGAGATTTTGTGACTTCTGACTGTGAGCGAAAAAAAATATATATATATGTATATATATGTATAAACATATATATGTATATATCTTTAAGTCACCTAAAATGTGTTTTTTTCTTTATGCCAGCCCAAGCTAACTAAAGCACAATATAAAAGGATATAGGTAAGCTATTAGAAGTTACATTCTTATTTGCTTGATGTTAATATGGAAAAGGTGACAAGTTGGTAACTGGAGAAAAATGAC